TCCAAGAAACTCATTCATCTCTTATATGGGATTCCATCACCCCCACACGCCCAGACGTGTTCATTGGAGCTAGAATAGTCGATGCTATTCCTTACACTTTTGGTTTATCCACTATCTTTTCTAGCAAATGACATTCTCATTAATAGAACTCCAGCTTAAAATAGACGGACTTCAAGTGTCTTAATTTATTCTCACTTTTGACTACGGTTAAAATTACCTTCAAGTTATAGCTTTATTAGATGTCAAGTAAAAAAATGAGATATTTTTCTAACAATGAGAATAATATTATCAATTTCAAATAATATATGAAATTTGACCCCTTTTTCTAAAAAATATACCTCCCACTGAACCAGCAGGCCGTTTCTTTCAATGGATCTGAGGATCCTTTTGCCAAAAGAAATACATACACACAGCAAAACAAAATGTGGATATTATCGTTGGTAGGCCAAATGGAACGTGGTAGCCGCTCCTTTTTGTCCGTTTCTTTCAAATTTCATAATTTTCTTTTGGGAAATATACACATTTAGTCCCTCAAATTTAAATAAATTTTAATTTTTACCTTCTGATGCTTAGCAAATTTAACCTTCAATTAATTGAAAATACATTTTTGATCCTTCTCCTTGTAAATCTTCACAAACTTAAAAAATGATATACCGTTATATTTTTTGACTACCCATGATTATGTTAAGTTTTTAGTTTTAATGTTGTTACTCCATATTTGAAGGTAATATGTTTTTTAAAAATGGTCAAAATATAAAATATTTTCTATACAAAGGGACCAAAACACGTCATAATAAACTGAAAGTTAAATATGTTTAGTCATATATAATAAGGACAAAAAGTTATAATGTATCAATAATTGAAGGGCCAAAAGTGTTATTATCCCTTTTCTTTTTAAACATTCAAATTCCCAAACTAAAAACCCTTTATTTATACGAAGCTTTCTTCCCACCGGTCCCTCTCTCCGTCTCTCGCTTCTGTAACTGATTCGGCATTGATACCTAAGGTATGGTTTCCATCTTAGAATTGTAAAAAATCACTCAGAAATGTCAATCATCTCGATTTGCTCTTCCCTTCTCTAATCTTCTTATAGCTTTCCCCCTTTTTTTAAATTTTATTTGTATCTTTGTAATGCTTTATCTCTGTGGCAAGAGAATTGCAGTTGCTGTTATGTTGATCGTGTTTAATAGATATTAACGCTCATTTTATCCGTCCAATCTGAGTTTTCTTTTATTAATTTTATTTAATTCTAATCCAACTGCTGTTCTCTTAAAAATGCCATTGTGGGTTGTGTTCTAGATCTTGTGCAATTTTTATGGGAAGATGGTTAGCTTGGGAAAAATTGAATTTGATTAAAAAAAATTCTCTGTTTATCTAAATTTGACATATAGACCCCGTTTCCAGAGGCTGATTTTTCTTTTTCTCTGAATCTGATGGATCTAGGTATTTGGGGTTGAATGATTTCCAATTCCTTTTCTCAATGGATCTTTGCCTTGAATATTTGCTGGTGAAGCAAATTCTGTTTATACTTTCATATTCGACATGTTTCTATGGATGATAACTTGTCTGATCTATGTACAGTTGATCTTCTCAGAGAAAGAGAAAATATTTTGATTAATTTCCATCTTAAATGACTTTCTTAAAAACATATATTTGATGATTATGCAGTACTTGGGGCTTTTTGTTGAGAAATCAATCAATCAAGGATGGGCCGCGGAGTAAGTGCTGGGGGTGGCCAGAGTTCTTTGGGATACTTGTTTGGAAGTGGAGAGCCTGGTAACAATTCTCAACCTACTCGCAGCCAGGAAAAAGCTGCAAGTAATGAACCTGCCTCAAAGCCAGCTGCTGTTTCACTACCTGTGGATAACACCAAGAATGTTCCAGCAGGCATTCAGAGTAGCACAAACAACTATTTCCGTGCTGATGGTCAGAACTGCGGCAACTTTCTAACAGTAAGTTAACTAGCAACTTCTCATAATTCCTGGTGCCATTTTTCTTGGAGTGCTTTTTACAGTATGTGAACTTGTATCTGCGTTGAATTGTGCGACTATTTCATCTAAAAGTTTAAGTTGTTAGAAAGAGTATGAATTTAATTGATTACAGTTGAACCGATGACCTTTATCTGTTCTGATACCATATTGAATAGTGTGATCATCTCCTCTAAAAGCTTAAATTGATGAAGAGAGTCACTTTTCATTTACTTAATTATATCTTAAGCAATCTCCTATTATTGGTGCATGTATCTGCATACTTTTCTTTCTTTTTGACAGGTCTCTTCAATCCTCATCACTTTGTATACTGTAAGATGTTATAAGATGTGGCTAACTGGTTCAATAGGCATGACCAGTCTGCATATTTAGGCTTTGATTTCCTTGTCTATCCGATGAAAAGAATGTTATAAATATCAGCACCTTCTAGGCTTGCTTGAAGATTTAAGTGTTATGAATCTTTGTATTGCAGGAAAGGCGTTCGACCAAGGTCCAAGCAGCACCTGGTGGTGGATCTTCCCTAGGGTACTTGTTTGGTGGTGGCAGTGCTGATGGCAGCAAATGATATCATTTAACATCAACATTCGGTTTCAATAGTTCGCTTTCCCAGTTATGGTCGAACTAGGAATGGATTTCATTTACTGCAAATCTGGAACTTTTTCACAATTGTAATAGTGTTAATTGACACAGGAGTCAAACGGCTATGCAAGTGCTGAATGCATTCCATTATTTCTATATCGTTGGAGTAAAAAAACATTTCCTCTTTAATTTAATCTGTTGAATGTGATAATGATAATCATCGAATATAAACACATTTCATGGAGGAGTTCTGTTCGATTAAGTTGAACATGGTCACCTGCAAATGTCTAATACCACGCTTTATGTAAACAGCAGCAAGGAACCTATGATGAATGTCAACACATTCGTCTGCTGTTTCATGATGAAATTGATTTCCTTAATTGCTGAGATCCAGAATTATCACTCAATATAGTGAAAAAACATGTTATTGTTATCAGCAGCATTTACCTTTCAAAATATATCCCCAAACTATAAATTTGCAGTAGAAGTCCTCTTTTTGAATTTTTTACTGAATTCAGCAGAGAACATAACCTCTAGCAGCACAACTATCCAGTAGCCACTACATTTACATCCATTTTCATAAAGTTAACAAAATTATTACTAGTGTGTTGGGCAACACCCGGTTCTTCCTACTTTTGTTTGATGAGACCAAGGACTATGAAAACTGTACAAGACACAGTTTCTTAAACTACAAATGAAAGAAAAACAGACAATTCATGTTAGCAAACGGTGTTTGAGATCTAACTGCAGCATTCTGCTGCTGTCATTTGATGACTTTGATATTGAACAAACGGTAAATTGAAAGCAGCTGTTGCATCAAAGCGATACCCCTGCAGTTCTGATGATTTAACAAGTGTTAACAAGCTCAAGAAAAGAGGTGGAAGCACCAAGATGATATACTCTTAAAAGGCCAAATACACGTGGCCCCTTAAACTTGCCCCTTTTTTTCACTTAGACACCCATATTATAGCTTGTACCTATTGAACACTTGATCTCAACCAAAAATGTACCTATTAAACACAATCTGCTGAGATGGCACAGTGCGTGCATAACACAGCTTCTAGGAGCGTGACATAGCTCTAAATCTCAATACAAAAGATCTTCTGCGGAAGCTATGGAGCTTTGCCTGAAAAATAAATCTCAGTACCTTTTTTTTTTCTTCCTTTTTACCATCAATTCTTAAAATCAAAAGAAAGACAATTGGTCCAATCAGTACAATTCCTTCAAACAAAAATGAATAATGATCGAACAATTCGTCCAAATCAGACGAGGGAACAAACAGTTCTAATATCTAGAAGGTAATAAAGAAAGAAAATGCTTCTTTGAAGCTCTGTTAATGTGTAATGTGGTAGCCACAAATTACAAAGGCAATCTACTGTCATCAATACTTATAAAAGCAAATATTTAGTTACACCTCAAAAATCACCCATTTACAACACCGACAACATTAGACAGTAAACGAGTGCATTTGCTGCTGTAGAAGCAGCTTGTGATGCTGATCTAGAAGTAGCTGATGTTAATGTCGAAACATCCCCTAGATTCATTGTTTATACTGATTCGATTGCTCAACTAGAGAAGATGCTACAATGTTTTTACTGTTTTTTTCTTTTTGGTTATTGATTGAGTATTTATTAAAGAAAGGGGAAACTCACAACAATGGAGGAAATGGCGAAATGACTGGAGGAAATGGGGGCTCTGTTGGGGAAGACGACGAGGAATGTCGAAGGGGCCATATCTCTCTCCCTTTTTTAAAAAAGATTTGACAAGTGTCATTTATTTATTCATTTTTTTTTACCCCATTTATGGAACTATACTGGGTATGTTGTTATTTCTTTGACAAGTGACAGACACGCGCTTAACTTGGTCTAGCATTGTCAATTTTGTGTTCAATAGGTACATTTTGTAGTATGATCAAGTATTACATGCTTTAGTATAAGTGTCTAACTGAAAATATTGGACAAGTTTGAGGGGCTGCGTACCAAGATGAAATGATGTTTGATTAGTTTCCTTTATCTCCAAAAAATTGTTAAATTTCAATACATTACAGCACATAAACATTGTTGTTGGCTTTTAATATGCAGAATCATCAGCAAAAACATTAGCCATTGCCGTTTTCTCCACTGTCTAACACCTCTTCACCTAACTCCTAAGAGTCCCAACTAAGAGTTATGACCAATCAAGCAAGTCTCTTTTAAATTTCAAATTAGCTTTCACGGGAAACATTGCTTCATACCAATAGCACCAAACAAGGGGGAAAGAACCCAAAAATATAGCTTTGGGCTTTGGGCATGCATCTCTGGTTATTAAAAATCTCCTGGAACTGAAGTTTCCAAACACGTTTCAAATAATCATATGTAATTCCTAGCTCCCAGTTAATAATCAGCTAGCTGTTCACTAGCACAATAACACAATACCGTATCACAAAAGTAAAACTGGAACCACAAGAAAAATGAGGTAAACTAAATTTGATTTCAGCTTATAATTAAGTAGCAAACATCACAGTAAAACTTTGTGCACACCTTCGCACAGGAATCATAGTTATGACAACTCCAAATTCTGAAAATTAAATCTAAAGAGAAAAAGCCTAACAGAACTCCGCAGCTCATGGCCCAGAGATAATGGGGGAAAAAGAGATGAATCCTTAGAATCCGAGCTTGGTGCGGCGCCAGTGCCTGCGCTTGGCGTTGTAACGGATGGTGTTGTCAGTGCGCATGCGGATCCAGTAAGGAATAGGCCTGTTCTGCCTCTGCTTCTTCGCCAGCTTCTTCTTTATCATAAATGTCTAGTGCGAAGGCTGAAATTTCAACAAACACAAAACATATAAATCAAACATTTGTCACAGTAAACGAAGGGGAAAGGGAAATAAAGCAATGGCGTACCATTTTCGGTTCTGCGAGACGATAGGACTGAGTCGGGAGCGGCGGATACAAAAACCCTAAGCACAAACTTATTTATACGTTCGTCGGTTAACTTGCTTCGTTTTACAAAGCATAATAACTCACAAGTTCACAATTGAGTACAGTTAAAAGTATTTCAATAAACTAGAAATTCGTTAATTCCTTCTCGAGTCGATTGGTTATTGTTATTTTATATCAGCTTCTTTAAATTAAATGCTTTATATTCACTAATTTTTATTTTAATTAAAAAAAAATTAGGACATGCTTCTCCCGACTCATTTCTCCCGGTTTATACCTTAGAAAAAATCCCTAACTATAAGATTCAACAACAAAGGATGCTATTGAGGCTTCAAAAGAGATATTAATTTATTCTTTAATTTATAATAATTGAAAGCCCAAGAAAGCAAATGCTACATTAAATTGGTATGAATATGATTCTTCTTAAGGTACGAATTGAGGAAAATAATCTCAGAGGATATCATCATGTTGTTTTCTTTAGTTTAAACGGTTCATTTGTCTCTCATGATCAACTCTATCAAAGATAATGCTACCTTCTATTCTAATAACAATAATAATAAATAAAAGAAATCAAAAGTGCTCAATTTTAGTGGGCGTTTGGACATAAGAATTGTAAAATTATGAGAAAAAGTAAAAAAAAATTTAAGTAAAAATGATATTTGAAAATTAGAGTTATTTTTGGACATTAATATAATTTTGGGTTGTTTTTGAATTTTTGAGAGTAATCTGAGTGAAAATTTTGAAAAATAGTTTTTTGGAGTTTTTTTTTTTTTAAATATTTTTTCGAAAAATTTCAAAATTTATATTCAAGTGAAAATTGAAAAATTTATTGCCAAACACTAATTTTGAAAAAAGGTAAAAAATTTTCAAAAAAGTGAATTGTTTTGAATGGCCAAACGGGCTCTTAGGAAACATAAGGAGCTAAAACTGCACAAATGTATGTTTTAAGGACCACTTTAGACCAACTCAAAACATATGGGGTTATTGTTTGTCATTTTCTCGTCTAATTGGCAACTCTCCACTTTATCCCTATCGAGCTAGGGTTTTTCTTCTCTCCTACCAAGAGAGGTCTCAGCTACGCTGCTTGCTGCACTCTGTCTCTCTCTCTCTCCCTCTCTCTTGGAAAATTTGCAACAAAGAAAAATGACGACGGTGGTCCCTACTTCAGAGGAAGATCCCGTGCTCTCCGTCGTCCGGTTTACGGCGGAGATGTCATGGTCTGACGCCGGCGCCGATGTAATCTCTATCCCCTTGCTTTTACCTTTCTATTTATTCTGTTAAATGTATTTATTTTCTCAAGAGATTTATGTATTCGCGGAAATGGTGTTCGACCTTTACTTTTTTAAAAATTGACTCGCCTTTTGTAGTTTTGCCAATCCTCTGCATTATTTTGGATATGGAATGAAATTGAGCTGAATCGATATAGAGGATTCATATAGTCGATCAGGAGTTGTTTGGGAATGATGTGGAAGTTTATTTATTATTCTCTCAATCCCTAGTTATATGTAGTGGATATCGAGGGGAAATTCAATTTAGGATTTTATATATGGATATACAATTTGATTATCCTGGTGGGAGGTAGTAGATGGAATAGTCCAGGTGAGCGCAAGCAGTCATAAATGAAACATGGATATAAAATTTGTTTGTCCCTACCCCAAACTCCTCAATTGACCAATCATATATGGAATGGTTATAGTGGATTCATAAGAAAGCATATATGTCTAAGTTCTGGTTAGGATGCATAATGACACTTTGGGCTTTTTAAAACAACAACAACAACAACAACAACAACATACCCAACTTTTTATTATTGTGGTGCCTATGCTTTTCTGAGCCGAGGATCTATTGGAAACAACCTCTCTACCTCCACAAGGTAGGGGTAAGATCTGCGTACACACTATTTTCGTCTTTTGAGATTTGCGTTCATTGTTTTGCCCTAGTGTTAATGAATCCTTTTTCAAAGAAGAACACATCTATCTCTCGGTAATGGCTGGTGCGGAAGTGTAGTTCCTTCTCATGCCAAACTTGTTCTTTTGCAAGGGTTTATGCCAGCTATTTTTATCCCTATTGGATATTAGATATAATGGAGCTCTTAAACATTTGTAGTGGGTCATGGTTGTAAAAGTACGGCAGTAACTTCTTCCTTACTAAATTTTAGGGGGTTTAAATATGTAATATAATGTCCCTTCTCATTTGCCAGCAGATTTTTGGTTCTGCTATTCTCTCCAATATCACATGCTTGTCAGGAGTTTACATTCATGTTTTTCTCCCTTCTCATTGGAGTTACTGGAAAGGGGATCAAGAGCAACCGCGCACACACGAAAAAATCACAACACTTCCATTAGTCTGGTAAATGTAGTTAGAAAACTCAATAACAAATTCAGCTCCCAGGACTTTGGTCTAGTGGTAAAAGCGCCGCAGGTGATGTGTGGGTTAAGCGCATGTCACGAGTTTGAACCTTGTTGTAGACAAAGGCATGGTATTTAAGCGGAGAAGGGTAGAGGAGTGAACCAATTAACCACCGGTTTCGAATCGTATGCCACTAGCCCTCAGGGATTTTACTCTTATAAAAAAAGATTCAAGAGGCACATCTGGGACTTGGAATAACTCTTTAAGTGAAAAGACATATAGTCTCTTGCTGACATATGCTGACCAACAAATAAGAAAAGGGAAAAATTGATTAATATAAAAGAAAAAACCCCCTCGAAGTCCATCCGAAATCACAGTAGCATCATATAACGCTTTCTATGGCAACACCCCAAGCTGACGCCCAAATGCAGAGTCATGGTTCAGTAAATTCCATAGGGTTCTATACAAACTGATTGGTGAAAGATTTTTTTGATTGGACCTTTCTGGTTGTTGTACAAGTTTTAATTGGGTGATCCATTTATAGATTGCAGAGCCTCAAGTTAATAGATTGTGTGTCGAGGCCCAGGAATGCATGATTGAAGGAAGGTGGTTGGATTTGGCTTCGCTGATGCTCACTTCCGCAGATTTAATATTTTCTAAAGCTTCTGAAAAAGGTAAAACTGCATCTGTGCCTCATTCTATTCAACTGTTGTTAAATGATATGTCCTGGACTTTTCCGAACTCCGGGGCTTTGATTGTCTGACATTTTAGCCATCTGTTGTCAATTGTCATCTTATGTTTTTCTCCTTGTTTTCTGTTTCCCCCTCTTTTTTGCTTCCGTTGTTACCTAATATGCTTTAATTGGCTTCTGCTTCAGATCTTGAGTGCATTTTCACTATCATTTGCAACCTTGTCAAGAAGCCTGAGAGCTTGGACCAAGTACATGAGATGGCAGAGCTCATATCTACTAAAATCATTCAACAACCTAATGATAAACCCGCTTTGCGCTTGAAAATGTGAGGGTGTTTGGATTGGCTTTTAAGCTTGTCTAATTAGCTTTTAAGCTCTTTTTAGCTTTTTTCACTGGTTGGCAATGTTAAATAGTGCTTAAAATATGTTTAAAACTGCTTAAAACAAGCCAAAAGCAATAAGCTGGGAAACCCCGACTTATTGCCTTTTGGCTTAAAAGCTATTTCCGCTAAAAAGTCACTTTTTTAAGCTAATCCAAATGGGCTCTGTATCTCACTTTGTGATAATCACTTTTATCTGAGTTTTTTCTGTTGTCTAATCACATTTTTCTCTCTTTTCAGCTTGTTCAATCTCTATAACCTGTTGGAGAATTCATACAGCCGTTTCTTTGTTTACATGAAATCCCTCAATTTGGCCATTCATGGAAAGGTCACTGAACATATTTTGCCATCGGTCAAAAAGATGGATAACTTCTTGAAGGAATGGAATCTTGGAGTCAAAGATCAGAGAGAGCTCTTCCTCGCAATCTCCAACGTTTTGAAGGAAAACAAGGGGTAAGAGGGGAAAGACTTCTGTTTTTGAACCTCTTATGCTGATGATGATGCCTTTTTCTCATTCTCATGCACATTTGCAGCTCTACAAAAGACTCTTTCATGTTTCTAACAAAGTATCTAGAAACCTTTTTGGCTGAAGATGCTTATACGATGAATGAGGCTAAGGAAGAAGCTGCCCGCGCAATTATCGATTTTGTCAGGTCACCTGATATGTTTAAGGTATTTCTATAATGAAGTGAACTCTCACAACAAATTGTTGAAATGCACAATAGTTTTGTGATTCACTCTTAAATTGCATAAACAGCACACAGACTTATCCAAAAGTAAAAACACAAAAGAACAGCAGCCCACAGTATTCCATGCTTTCTCGCTGACATTTGTTGTCTTTGGTGTATATATATTTGCAACTATATATTCTGTGGTCTTACCATTCCACGTGTCACAGTTGACCAGAGTGCTTGACAGTATTAGCAGAATGCATGGTTAGTATGTTACAGTGTTAAATTTTTTGGCTATTGTGGATTAGTTGATTTGAATTTTCTATTGCTTGGCTGCTGTGAGTGGAATTGAAGCTTATAGAGAAAAAATTAGGTACTGCTACTGTAGAGTAGATCACTATATGATCAGATTGAAGACCTATGAGAAAAGAAACAATGAAGGATTGTGCCTTATGTATACTTGTTTTCCATAGTTGAACTTTGTCTTTTATTTGGCAGTGTGACTTGCCAGATATGCCTGCTATATCCCAGTTGGAGAAAGATGATACATATGCTCCAGTATATGAACTTCTGAAGATCTTTCTCACTCAGAGGCTGGACGCTTACTTGGATTTCGAAGCTGCAAATTCAGCATTATTAAAAAGCTATGGTAATTTACTTGCCATTATGCTACTTTGAACTTTGGGCTAGTGTATGAATCAAGCCTTTAATTTGAAGTGGGCTATGCGGCCTGAAACTTCTGGTTAATGTTGTAGGACTTGTCCATGAAGATTGTATATCAAAAATGAGGTTAATGTCGTTGGTAGATCTTAGTTTGAATGGATCTAGTCAAATTCCTTATTCTATCATCAAGGATGCATTGCGGGTATATTTCTTGTCATATTTTGTTTGTTGATGTTTCTGGGCTGCATTTAGCTCATTTAGTCTTTTGCTCTTTTCAGATTGATGACACTGAGGTAGAATCTTGGGTTGTTAAGGCAATTACAGCTAAGTTACTTGACTGCAAGATTGACCAAATGAATCAAGTAGTAATAGTGAGGTGTGCTTTCTGTAGTCAGCCTCCCTTCACTGTCTCTTCTGCTTCAGCTTGAAATTTCTGTTAACCATTTTCCTGTGATTCGTTATGTGTAACAATTGTTCCTTTATTGTGTCATTGTGCAGCCGATGTACGGAGCGTGTGTTTGGGTTGTATCAGTGGCAAGAGCTCCGCTCAAAGCTTACTACTTGGAGGGTAAATAAGATATTCTTTCCCAAACTAACACGAATAAACAATCTGGTTTGTACAAGCTGTTAGAGGTGTTACACCCCCACCTGCCTTCTCAAACACCTCCGAAGCTTGGTCTTACCTTTCTTCTGCCCCAAAACTCAAATTAGTGCAACATATTGCTCCCACACTAACGCTTCATCTATTTAGATGTTTGTTCATTTTCACTCTTATTTGTAATGGATCATATACTGTGTATGATTTGAATATTTTCAACTCTTTGCAGGGTAACATTGCGGGTGTTATCAGCACGATTCAAACCAACAAGATAACAGAAGATAGCGCACAACAAATGCAAGGATTAGCGATCCACTGAATTTAGCTATTATTTTTTGTCATCTTTTTTGCTCGGGGCAAAGATATGCTTAGAAGAAGCACTTTTGTGTTGTCTGTCAAGTTTTCAGCGCTGTAGTTCTATGTGATAATGGTTTTCACTTTGTACTATTAAGTTGATTCCAGTATTTGGAACTAGTTAACTTTTTATCCTACAGTTTCCCTTGTTAGGATATACTCATAAGCAGAAGGAACTTCTTCTAGGGTCTATGTTGCCATTCCCTGGCTGCAAAACTGTTTATCAAAGGTTCGCTATGGCATGTTTGCAAAGCTGTTATTCTATCCGACTCGTTTTTCTGATTTCATTTGTTTAAGTCTTTGCATATGCCCTTGATGACAAAGATAAGATTTAGACAGGAAAAGAAAAACTCACAATAAATTGAAGTAGGAAATAGTATGTCACAAAGTCGTTGAGTCTATTAAAGAAGAAAGTAAAGGTAGGAACTTTCATTTATTACCCCTGCGTCAATAGCTGTGGGGAATTAATTGTAGCAGGTTGCATCTAATACTAACACCTAAGAGAGAAATATGAGTAGTTTATGTCAAGTCGTGTAAACAAATCAAATACCAACGGAGAGAGATGGCAAGAGAGACGTTCAATGGGCAATTCCCAAACTTGTCCCCTGCACTTCTTTTGCTGCTAACGATCCTCTTATTAAATACCATAAACATGCCAAAAGTTGAGTGTGGGGTTAGTAGCCAAGAATGTAATGGCACCAGCATAGGTGATTGCGTTGTGGATGGCGATGAATTCCTGGTGGAATCAGAAACGAGCACTCTGCTTCTAGCTAATGGAAAAGGTACACTAACCTATCGAAGCCTTCAGAAACCAGCGATATGTAATGCAAAGATTATCGGTAATTGCATCGGAGCGCAGCTCAATGGTCCACATCGACCCTGCAACTATGACAATCGCTGCAAACATATGCCTTAAAGATGATTCGGTGGTGTACAAATCTCCAAGGGAATCAAGTTAATGTCTGATGTTTCTTTTACTTTCAACTTCCGAGAAATAATCGAGTTTACTGTCCCTCGGTAAACCCAGTTAACTGCCTATCTTCTCTCTTCTTGAACCAACTACATGTGGTACATTTTGTACTATATACAGTGGTTTTACTATGGTTTGTATTTTGTCAATGTGTCTCTTATATAGTCTCTAGCCGAGGTCTATCGAAAATTGTTTCTCTGTCCTTCCCAGGTTAGGGTAAGACTACATACATGTTACCTTCCCCATACCCCACATGTGAGAAATTACTGGCTTTGTTGTTGTTGTGTCTCTTAAATAGTAGACGCTTGATTTTTAGCAAACTAATGATGATGTTCCTGAACTTGCTATTCCCATATATATAACCTAGATAGATGCCAGAAGATTTGATTCAGAGAAGAAAATGCAAGATACAAGTTTATGTCAAAAGGAGTATAAGACGTGTTCAAGTAATTATAAATGTTTTTAATGCACGAATGTGTAATAGTTTTAATAATTAAGGAGTAAATTACTCATTTTCAATTTGTTGTCAAGTGTTGTAAGCGTAGCAGTTGTGATTAGGCATAAATTTCACCTTTCGGAGTGAGTCCCTCAAATCCGGTTCATCATTATCCCGATATACACAATTATAAATTTTTATTTATTATTTTGCATATAAACTAGTAATTGAGTAAAAAACATTGAGTTTAGTTAAAGTTATAATACCTACTCTGACCACCAGACATAGCTGGTGGATGCTGAGGTTTTCATTATTGAAGTAGGACATATATTATACTTTAGGAGATATTAGCAAACAAAGACCTATAGTCAACTTTAGAAGAAAGAAGGGGTGTCCATTCATTTCTTATCCCAGCGTCAATAGCAGTAGGAAAATTAATTGTAGGCAGCTAGCTAGCATGTTTCCTATTTAAGTAACACCCAAAGTTATATCAAAACCATCGGAGATAAATGGGAAGTGAAGCGACGCTACTTGTGGTGCTAACGATATTCCTTTTATTCCTGCAAAAAATTGCGGGTGGTGGCCAATTAGAATGCAATGGGACGAGCATAGGCGATTGCCTTGTAGATGGCGATGAATTCCTAATGGAATCAGAAACAAGCACTCTGCTTCTAGCTGATGGAAAACCTACACTAGCCTATAAAGGCCTTCAGACACCAGTGATATGTGATGCAAAGATTATCGGTAATTGCATCGGAGCGCAGCTCAATGGTCCACAGCGACCCTGCACTTATGAAAATCGCTGCAAACATTTGCCCTAAGTAATGTCAGCTGTGAAATGGTGGACAACTTTCCAAGGGAATAAAATTAATGTTTCGCTCGTTAGAGATCGAGTTTAATTTGTTATGGTTTATCTTCTTGAAGCAATCAACTACTTATTCTACATTTCGTGCTAAGTATGATTGTTTACTGTGCTATTCTAGTGTTGTGTCAATGTCTCTAAGTACTAAAAGCACGCTTGATTTTAGATAAATTGAGATGCTGTTGTATCATGTACTATTACGTATTATTATTTTTGGTTGAATATATCTTGTATCAGCAACTTCATGTATTTTTTTTATTTTTTTGGAGTGCTTTCTTAGTAAAACGTTTTAGGGGATGATTGGTAGGAGAAAGGATCACTGCACAAGGTAGAATAGAATCTTTCTTGTGATATTGCTCAATTCTATTCATCGAAATTTCAAATAAACGTTGATTTATTATTTACTGAAGTAACATCTAATTATTAACTGTGTTGAGCACACACTAAAGTTGGTCTCTTTTACTCGCTATGATGATGAAAGTTTTTTTCTTACAGATGGTGAGAATGATGCCTGTTTCCTTACTTTAACAGTGAAAAGTCTTCCAAAAAGTTAATACATTAATTAGCAAGAAGAACTATGAATATGCATATTATAATTTAGAACTGCCGGAAGTCAATTGTAGACGAGATGCAATCAACACTCTGACGAGTCGTTGGAAAACATTTTAATCCTCATATCATTATTAAATAACATATAGTTACATAGCAGAATCTCTTGCACATGGTTTTAATGCATCTATTTTGTTTTTCTGGTATAAGCAAGCTTGAAAGAAGACTTAGCTTAGAATTAAGCAATGACTTACTGTGGAGTATATCTCTACGTTAAACTTAGAATAATCATTTGAGTGCGGACACCAAGATCAGAAAAGAGGTTTTAGTATTTGTCTAGCTAGGAGCATTATGTGATTAACGGTGTTTGCTGTAGTGTAATACCGTGATTTTCACTGAAATGTCTTATCATTTTGATCCGATCTAACTTGCGTGTATGGAGAAACTAGAAAGGGAGAAACTAGAAAGGGAGAAACAAAATCCCACATAAATTATCCGCTAAGTGATAATCATTACTATTAAGTAATATATATTCTCATTCTAATTTGTGAATGTTGCAGCAAATTTATTAATTTAGAGTAAATATTGGTTGCAGAAAAGTATATTATTATCCCCGTACAACCAAATGTCTAAAAGAGAAAAGTTTTGGGGTTAAATAATCGAACTATGTGTGAATTTAAATTAGCCAATTAAACGACATAGACCCAAATTAACTAACTAATTACATGTAAAAGATATTTACTTTATATCACCTGACATCTAACTACATCACCAAAATAGAAAAAGGAAAAAATAAAAATTAGAGGAAGAAGAGTGAAGATTATACACCTAGGCCCTAGCTATTACAATCTAAAAGTGCAACTTTTTCTTCTTCTTTTTTTCTTTCTTTTTTCTTTCTAAAAGTGCAACTTGAGTATAGGCCAAACTAATTTTTGGTCCCAGACATTATTAATGCGCGATATTTTTTATCCATGTTTTCTGTAAGAATAGACCACCACGATGATTAAAAGCAATAAAAAGAAAATGAGAGATAATTAGTTAACGAATACTTTAAACTTCTCTTAATATGATGAAATAGAAAGGGGTTTAAGTAAATAGAGCCAATACCAAAAATAAGAATTTTATTATATATATATATATAGAGATAATGTAAAAAAAAAACTCTATCAATACAATTAAGGCTACTTTCTTTTTTGTACATAACTAGTACTATAATAAAGAAATAAAACGACCAATGACTAAGGAGACGGACTCGGTCAACGTCGGCTTTCAACCATAGAAAATTAGAAATTAAACAGAGAAGACTTGAGAGTCAACACTCAAAAGTCTTGGCAATTGCTCTCTAATCTCTATAACTGTTCGACTCTAAACATATAATATCTCTATACACAAAAAACACAAAAATTCAATTCATAACACCAACATGGCAACTACCATTCCTCTGATTTCCTTTCTGCTATTATCAAGTTTCGTGGCTGCTACTATTTCTGTTACGTCATCAGAGTACAATGCCACAGTCCATTTCTTGCTCAACTGTGGCGCATCATCAGGCGCCACAGCCGAAGATAACCGTCTATGGAATACTGATATCCACTTCACAAATCTCTTACCTTCCAACTTTGCAACCATATCCACAACAGCCATAGCTTCTGAACAAGGCTCTCTCACTAGAGTCCCTTATATGAATGCTCGTATTTTCAAATCTCAGTTCACCTACACTTTCCCTGTTTCCCCTGGCACCAAATTCCTCCGTCTCTATTTTCACCCAGCCAATTACTCTGGCGGCTTCAATAAATCTGAATCCTTTTTCGCTGTTACTGCTAATCATTTTACTCTCTTGAGTAACTTCAGTGCTTTCCTCACTCTCTCAGCTAGTGCTGATGAGTCTAATAAACCAATTCGAAAAGAATACGTCATCAATGTTGATGAAAGTCAGAGACTAAATATTACTTTTTCTCCTTCTCCAAACTCTTATGCTTTTGTTAATGGGATTGAGATTGTTTCCATGCCAACTGATCTTTACATCCAAGGAGACGAACATGGCATCAAATTGGTACAGGGGCAGAATAATTTTTATTACATTAATAACAGCACTGCTCTTGAAATTTTGTACAGACTGAACGTGGGAGGCAATTCGCTTTCAAGCAAAGAGGATACAGGGATGTATCGTGAATGGGCTGCAGATCAGAATTTTGTTGTTGGACTTGGTTTTCAAACTCCACATTTAGATGTCAACATCACTTACACTACTCAAACCCTGGCTTATACTGCTCCAACCATAGTCTACACAACCTCTAGGACAATGGCCAATTACAGCCAAAGCCTGGATTGGAAATTCTCAGTAGATTCTGGGTTCTACTATCTGTTCAGGCTCCATTTTTGTGAGTTTCAGCTGGAAGTTAAGGAAGTGAATTATCGGGTTTTCGATATATCCATTGGAAACCAAACAGCAGAGATATTGGCTGATGTAATACAATGGAGCGGCGGCTGGAGAGTCCCGGTTTACAGAGACTACGTGGTGTATGTGAGAGACAGAGATGGCCGGCGAAGCAAGGAAGATGTGTTGCTTGAATTGCGCCCTAACATGGAAACAAAAGCTGTCTATGCTAATGCTATCTTAAATGGCTTAGAAATTTTCAAATTGAATGACACAATTGGAAATCTGGCCGTGCCAAATCCTAAATTGCACTTACAAGTTCCCATCAATTCACCACCAATCAACAAAGAGAAAAAATCATCGCATAATGTTATATACTATGTCGTTGCAGGTGTGATTAGCGGATTAGCTGTTCTCTCAATTCTGGGATTTTTCATTTTCCGTCGACGGAAAAGTGGGAAAGATTCCGGTGGAAGCGTTACCAAGACATCGTGGATCCCTTTGTCAATTACGTCAGAGTCAACTCAAAAGACCGGCCGCTCAGGCTCATCAACGCTACCGTCCGATTTGTGCAGACACTTTTTATTAGATGAGATTAAAACCGCAACAGGCAATTTTGATGACAAGTTTGTGATTGGCTATGGAGGTTTTGGTAATGTGTATAAAGGGCACATAGACAATGGTACAACCATTGTCGCAGTCAAGAGACTGAATCCTTCGTC